TTTTAATATCTAAAATCTTGGCATATTGTTTTGAGTTTCGACTATCACTGAGTTTTGTGTAATGTTTTCGTTTTTGTTAGAGGAAATAATTTTTCTTTTTTGAACATTGAGGAATTTAGAGGAGGGAGATATTTTTTCAAGATTGGAGTCGAACTCTCAACTAACTACATCTATTCATTTAAGGTTTGAAAACGAATTATTGAATTCAAAGATTTAGTTCTGGTCCAAAAAATAATTTGATTGAATATAAACAAAAGAAATAATTTGAATGATGCATCGAAAATAACAGATTTGGGAGTTTTGCTGATCGAGAAAGATGGAAGCAAACTCAGATTTGATTTTAGAATCCGTTAAAAAAAAAATCAAGAGAAGAAGATGAGAATTGAGAGAGAGGAAAGTAGATCCAGAGAAAAAGTCTCCCATAGACATTGTTATTTTTCAAAATCAAATGCGGGCTACATCTGTTATACAAAGTTGCAAACACACTTTTTTCTCTAGAAAAGCCAGAGAAAATACGGGGAAGAGAAAGACCTACTAAGAGCTAGTTGGTGGTTAAAATTTGTTGGGGTGTGCTGGTGATGTAGGTTGATGAGTCAGTAGCAGTGATGATGTGGAGGTTGACTAGGATGACACTCGAGGAGATGAGGAGGGGTTCTTTTGGCGGCACTCGTCTCACATGCACATGGCTATGTGCTACTGGCCATCCCGTTCTATCCAGCGATGATATCACACAGTTGGCTCCCTAGCGAAGTTGCAGAACATAAATCCCCTGGCCAAGCTACTGGAGCCAAACAACGACAGCAAACTTCTTGCAGACTCGGAATGATTACACAACTACCAAAACCATCAATAAGAGTATGCATATATGGCTGGGAGGGTGACAAAGATGATGAACATATGGGGTTCAAAGATTACAATTTTGAAGTTACATTTACACATAGAACACCATGACATAGTAGTAATGACACCAAATAAAACCTCTGTTATCTCTAGTGAACATTTTCACCCTATAATGCACAACTCTCATGTTGAACATGAAGGACGTAATGACCCTCTTTCCGAAATTTCTTTAGGAACAAAGAAAACAAAGAGGATAAACTCAAAAATAGTGATGGGAGAAGGAAAGGTGTTCGCTTGGGGACGCTTATGTGCGGAACTCTCAATCCTGTTCTTTGATGCTAACCATGCGGCTTAATCATCTAATGCTTAAGAAGAATTACATGGGTGATGGAACTGTAAGCTATTATTTCCCAACCATAATATCCTGCAAATATGGGAATACTTTGCGATATTGGAGATTATCATGTGAGGCTAGAAGTCATTCTGCAAGGTTGGAGATACAGAGAAACGATGATTTCTGGGTAGCTTTTAACATGCAGGATGATGGATTGTAGGTGGATTAATTTTTATGAGGAGGAAGAATGGGGATCTGATACATGAGAAGAAAATCTGGGTTATCTTGTGTGTCCCCTTTTTGAATGGCAAGGGAGGGACAATATATGCAGTCAGGGGTAGTTCTGTAATCCTGTTTAATATGTCAGAAATGTACAGATGGGTCCAGGTGAGTTGTCAAGCTTAGATTGGTTCCAGGCACTATTGACGGTTGCTCTGGCATTAGCATCATGAATTGCTCGTTGGTTCCAACGATGGACTGGAAACTGGCTCTTATTGGAAATTCTCCTAGCCATACGAACTCCGTTTTTGGGGGATGCTTGAGTGCAACTGATAGAAACACCACATGCATAGTGATTTGGTGAGTTCCCCAGGCTTTGTTCGAGATTTTGGGAGATCTTGCAAGCAGATAGTACTCTTTCATAGCAGTTTCCAAGGCTATGAAACTTGTGCAGCCACCCTTGCATTAAATATGACTGCAAGTTGCTGATGGTGATTCAAGCGGCATTTTCAGTCGGTCTTCTATGAGATTTCCAGCCTCTGGTTAGCATCAAAAGGTACTTTTTGGGAGTTAAGTTTGTTTCCACACCTTCGCCACCTAGCCTTTTTTGGCGAAATCGAGTAACATTGCCAACGCCAAGCTTCGCCAACGCGAATGCCTTGCTTCATCAATGCAAATGCCTTGCTTCGTCAACGCAAATGCCTTGCTTTGTCAGAAAGGCAACATTCACCTATCCATGCCTGCCAAGCCACTACCCCATAGTTTATCTCGAGTAATTCCCATGAGCTTGGATTCACGGGCTTACGCTTATCTGTGATAATAACAAAGTACATATGAGCATATATTTGAGTATTTTAGATAAAAGCAATATGTGAATATACATAGCGAAGAGAGGAACTCCCTTATATGTTGAGGAAGACCATGTGGGCAAATGTTCGTTGCTCCCATCTATTTACTAGCCGTGGCAGGTCTTGCTTTATTGTTGCTATGCATGGCTAGCGTTGTGCCAGAATAGAGAATGGATGACATGGGTGTGTGTTGCAATATCGTTATCTGAGTCCAAGTTTCGCTCGTTGGCGGTACTTGCTAACACTTAGAATATAAAAGAAATATATTATAGATTGGGATTACTGTTGATCAGTAACTTTGTCTTTTTTATATAAAAAAATGATGATATATATGACCGCCGACCATGTTGCATAAGTATTATGGGGTCAGCTATGGATAGCTTTCCTATAGCCAGAGGGACAATAGTCGCTAGTTTTGTCCATGGCTGGAGCGTGAACTATGTGGAGTTGGAAGAGCACTTCCACTAATTTGCCAAGTCGTGAAGGGGTCAATCTTGTTAAACTAGACTCTACTATAGCGATGAAGATGTGGTAGAGAGAGATGGAGTTGTCTCCATGGAAGGGGGATGCTAGCCACATCCATGGCCTCCGATACGATAAGGTGTGATACCATTGACAAACGCTGGCCCTTCTTGTCATACCCGGACCGTCAAAGAGTGGTCTTGGTTGTTGTTGCCCGTCGAGTACCACACCACCATGCACGGGCGACCACCAAGGGACCGCTAGTTGCTACTTGATGGATTTTCATCGCTGAAGGGTAGCTATCTCGTCTAATTGTAGGGTTGTAACTATTACTGGCCTCACGCTTATCGTACCAAGTTGCACTAACTCTTTGTCTGTTTCCGAGAGGTAGTGGGATAGATATGTAGCAGATCTGGTCCTTTATTCATTGTTGGGAGCTGTGTAGATGTAATATGATCAGCCCATTGTCCATTGATGAGAACCAGTAATAAAGATCTATAGGAGTGGATGCTCGGCCCATTGTCCATCGTTGGGAGCTATATAAATAAGCCCATTGTCCTTTAATGGGAGCCATGTAGCAAAATAGGCTCTTTGTCCATTGTTGGGAGCCGCGAGATATAGTAGAGAACATTGTTGTAGAGGACATAGCTGTCAAGAAGCACCCAGCCATGTTACTGAAATAGACTTCACCATGTCTGGCCATGTTTGTGGAGATAGATGCTGGAGTGAGTGACATTCTGCGATATTTTCAACAAAGCGAATACGTGCCTCGCTTTAGTGATGTTGATTCCATGTAGCAATTAGTAGAAAATTGGAATCACACGTTGGATGTGGGAAGATAAGTATTGTGGTCCTTTGCTGATGTGGACCCGCACATGTTATTAGTTACGCAACCATGCAAATTCATCTCTCAATAAAATTTAATGGATAATAAGTAGTGGATAATAAGTAACGAAAAATGGTAGCGAGTAGGGGGTGATAATTAGTGGATAGTTGGTAGCAAATAAGAAAAGTATATTTAATTAATATAATTATTTAGTTATACAATAGTTAAGATTGTTATTTAAAATTAAATGATTAATAAAGGTATAATTAAAAATAATTAAGTGTATTTTTATATTTTTTATTATTAAAATTATTAATTTTATAAAAATAATAAATAAATTAATTACAATAGTATAATCATATATTAATTTTTATTTTTAATAAAGAAAAACTATATTAGTTTTAAATAAAATACAAAAAAATTTTATTTTTTTGTCTAATTAATAAATTTTGTTCATTAAGTTAATATATTTTTATAATAAATTAATGTAAAAATAAAAATATAATAATTACTTAATATTATTAAAGATAAAAATAAAATTGAAACTAATTAGATAAATACTAATAAAAAACTGTGATAAAAAATTAAAAAATGAAAAAGAATAAATTTGTCAATAAAATGAAAAACTTTCAATTTACTAATAGTTTGGTACAAAAAGTTATTTTATGTAGCTTTTTTAATCTATTAACAGTTTAGATCTTAATCACTAGTTACTAATCATAAACTGGTAAATAAAAAATATTACTAAATGTGTAGCGGTTTCAAAATAAATAAATTACCAAACACTTATTTTTAGTAGTTCGAATAATCTCTCTAACTACTACTTTCAAACCACACTAACTACTACTTCCAAACCGCTATATCAAATGGATCATTCGTTAGTTAGTCTATTCTTTCCTAAATAATATATAAATGTTTTTTTATTTAGAATTCATATGATGTGATTATTTTTTTATATTTTAAAAAAGATAAATATTTTTTATATTCAATAATTTAT